CAGTGACCAGTATATTTGCCCTCTACCAGACTCCTCTACCCCACTGGTCTGGGTCTGGCACAAGTGGTTGTGAACTAGGTGGTGGATTCTTTGTTAACATAAAAAGGAGAGCTTTTGCCCCAGATCCTTAAGTGGCCCCCTCAAGAATTGAACTCACAACCCTGGGTTTAGCAGGCCAATGCTCAAACCAGTCTCTTTAGACTACACCCATCACAAATTAAAGTTCATACATAGCTTAGCAACTGTTGTGGAGCAGGTTTAAGAAAAGAAACATTAACAAGGCAGGGAATTCTGATGGGATAACACAATGCCCTGCTTCTATATAAATAATGACACAGCCTCCAGGCATCTATTTTCAAAACCCAACAATGCTCCGTTTTAATTACTTGAAATGCACGTTACCCCAAAGGACTGCTGTAGTTTTAATTACTTCGAGGCCATCGTTGAATATCGGGCCCCTGCTTAGGATGCTCAGAATCCAGGAGCAGCCAAAAAAGGAGATGAAGCTAAGCGAAGCAACTGAAAGTCCTATTAAGGCCCCTGCGTTTGAAAGGCAGGTCACCAGTGCAAAGTGCATTGATGCAGTCAAGCAGTGGGACCTGCTTCATTCTAATGGGCTGGGCGTACAGACCTTCTGTTGGATTCGTTCCATGAGAGACCAACTGATCCATGAAAAGGCATGTGCTTTACAAATGCTGTGGTTTAATTAATCTAACTGGCTGAAGGTGTGGTTTGAAAATTCGCACCAGCCAATAACGGTTGGCTGCCCAGCAGTCTGACTTACTGACCCGGGCTCATTACTCACCGAGTGGGCTAAATGTGTTTTCTGCGTCTCATTGTGGGTCACAGATGGCTAGTAAAGAAGAACCAAAATCTTGCCTCTAAACACTCTCACACTTTGGGTTTATTTGGAATCTGGTATCAGAGCCTGAGACCAATTTTCATCTGATCTTTATCCTCATAACAGAATGAAGGAAAACCCTGGGTGCAAACGGCCCTGAATTTTGGAGCATCCATAAATTTTTGCAGTTTGAGCCCAGCGCTAACAATGAGACTTGCGTCTGTATTATTTATGGTTTTGCAGGGCATCTGCTGGCTGCTCTGTATCTTGCTCTGAAATGGATGTTGCTATCGCATCTGAGCGCATAAAGCTACAGCACAGACAGGTGAGGTTGGAAGCAAACAACTGGCAAACCAGGATATGAAATATATGGACTGCGTCATCTGTTGATGGGAAGATATTAACATCATCGTCAGAAATCCAGTGAGTTATTTAATTAGCTTATTTACTGAAAAGAAACCTTGCATTTTAGGCAAGGTGACTCCTAAAAATGCATCATGGGATAGGGACTAATTTTCCTCTCACTAACACCTGTGTAAATCAGGAGTGACTCCACTGATGTCTATAAAGTTGCTCAGGTGTAAATGAGGGGAGAATCAGTATTTTGAGCCAGATTCTGGCCTCAGGTCTAAATCCAAACTAGCTTCATACATTTTAAGGCCAGAATGGGCCATTACGATGTTGTCTCCTGCAACACACAGGTCCAGAGAATGTCACCTGGTCACTCCCACATCCATACCAATATCCTCTAATTCAACCACAAGTTATCTTTTAGGCAGATATCCACCCTGGCCATGGAGGTTTTTCTATCTGACTTCAATACAGTTTCTCCAGTTTGATATCAGTGGAACTAAGATCGGAATATGGAATGGTATTATTCCATTCCAATGTACCTCCCAGGACATGGTCCTTTAGCACAGACACAAGTGCAGCAACTTCATAAGCTCTCATCAGTTAAAAATATATGAAGAAAAATAAAATAAACCCAAGAAAAAGGCGAGAGGGTTTGTGGATCTGACACTGAAATGTGTACAGAAAATCAGTGGTCAATATTTCAAATCTTACCACTCACGCTACACATACAAAGTATTCTCTTGCACATTCAGGTGAGATATTCGTGCACACAAGCACTCATTTTGCATTCACAATAGTTGCAGGCACCTGAGGGAGGCAACACACCTTGGCAATTTGTGAATATCTGGCCACAGGTATTTTAGCAAGGGGAAATTCTTTGTGCAGTAGGGATCTCTTGAACAGATGGTAGATTAGAGGCACAAAATCAACAGGGGGACAGCTCATGAGAAAGCCCATAAATCACAAGTTAGCAAAATGAGGATGCTTGCCTACACAGTTTGCCAGTCCTATTTTGTTCCCAGCATGGTGGCTGAAATCACCCTAGCTCTTCGGAACGCCCTGAGAATTAATTTGTTTGCTTCCAATTCAGGGCATCTTTTGGAAACCTGATTACATTTTATTCTCTCCCTTTTGGAAATGAGTTTTAATGCTTGTGAAAGGTGCCAGATTCACAGCCCTGGAGGCTGGTGCTTGGCTAAGGAGAGGACAAGCGGTACAGAATGGGCTGCAGCCAACGTTCCTCATCCATGTGTCTCAACTTTGAGCCGGAAGGACCGCCTGCAGGCGTGAGGTGGCAAGTATCCTCCATGCTGACTCAACTCCTTGGCAATGCAGCTGAGGCTACCAACACACCAGTATCAGTTCAGAGGGGAAGGGGGGATGGTTTTATTGTAGGCGATAGGATCAAGACTGAGATTATCTTCCCAACCCACAGTCATTAATACAGGCCTAGCTGGCAATCATTTCTCACTAGGGCTGAAACCTCGACTGATCACCTAGATGCAAAATGCTCCCTCCCCAACCGGCTCCAACCAGTCCTTCCTTGCTTGTTCAAGTGCCTTTTCCCCCAGTTGCTCTCTCAGTCTCTGAACTCCTAGATGAACAATGCCCTGACACTTCCGCCTCTGTCCCTTCAATAGCAGGGCTAAATAAACCTGACAACATACTTACGCACACAGACAGGAGTCTTTCCAGACCAGTGATGGTCCTGCTGGCAGATCCTCACAGACATCCCAATGAGGCGAAAGCCGGGGTTGCACTGGTACACCACGCTGCCTCGGTAGTTGTAGTTCTCCCCGTTGATCTGCCCATTGACGATGGGGTTGGGTACGCCGCAGTGCCCGGCTGGAGGGGGCACACAAGGGGATCCTTTCAGAACTGTGCGCACGCAGGGGCCGGTGGCAACCAAGCAAAGGACTTCCCATTTCCGGATATGGGGTCTGACCCGGGGCCAATGGGTGTCTTTCCACTGACAGGAATGTGCTCTGGGGTCAGGCCCGGGGGCATTTCCTAAGAGGGTGAAGAGGCCTAGCCCCCACAATAGTAAATAAAATAGCAACAAATAAAAATAATGTCTCACTTTTATAAACCTCTTTCATCTTCCCAATCCAAAGCTTGTTACACTCTGATCAGCTGAGCCTCAAATCCCCTTTAAACACGTGCTTAAACCCCTTTGAATTCAGTGGGAGTGGGACTTAAGCACATGCATAAATTCTTGAATTGGGGTTCTGGGCTCTCATTCCTTTGTGAAACATAATTCATCACTTTACACAGATATCGCTCCAGCACCTACCCAAACATTTCACTTCAGTTCCACTCCAAAGCCCATTAGCCATGCATTCCCGTACACGCGATCCCACCAGGGTATAGCCAGTATTGCAGGAGAAGATGGCCGTCGCGCCGTAGATGGTTAAAGTCCCAATCCTGTTCCCATTGGGAGGCGTTGGCAGGTCTCCACAGGAGATAACTGAAAGAGATCCCAAAGCATGCAGTAAGGAAGAACGGCTGGGGGAATGCTTTGGAATGCAATGTAGTCTGTGGAACCAATTGTCACAAATTATTACGGAGGCCAAGAACTTATCAGAATTGAAAAAAGAGGATTAGATGTTTACATGGCTAATGAGACCATCCACAGTTACATGACACAAGATGAAAACATATGAGGTATAAACCCTCATGCTTCAGGACATAAGCCAAACTCTAACTGATGGGGATCAGGAAGAAACATCCCCTATGAACTGGTATTTCCAGAATTGTCCAGTATGGGATTTCTACAGGATCTGGCAATGGTCAAAGTCAGAGACAGCATACTGGACTAGACAGTCTGATGCACATTGGCAATCTCTATATTTTTGTATTTCAGATGCCTTTTGGGAAGATATACAGAGGTAGTTGGGTGACATTTAATGGCCTGACATATACAGGAAGTCAGGCTAGAAGATCTAATGGTCCCTTATGGGCTTAAACTCTATGAATCTATGAATATTCGGGCAGCCTGAGTTCTAAAAAAACTATGAAGTTGACATCAGAAGTATGACCCCAGAGACTTCCATATTTATTCTCTTCCAGTGACTGCCGGATCTGCTTAAAAGTCACAAAGATATATTCCAGGGAACGTGCCCAAAGTTTGGATGACCCTCCAAACTTCCCCAGTGATTGGGGGAAAGTGTGGCTCCAAAGTTTAATTATCACGAGCTGTAGACTGAGATCCCGCCCACAAAGTTCAGATCTGACCCTCTTCAAGCTTTCTGTCTGGGGAGTCTCTAATAGTTTCAAACTCAACATGAGATTTGAGGATTGAGCTGGGTTCTTTCTGCCCCTTTTCTTGCCACCAAGATTCTGCAATTGGAACTTAGCTGACAATGCTCCCGATGAGGCAGAATGGGAGCTGACTCACTCCCAGAACAGGTTGAGCCCTGAAATGCCAACAAGAGCAAAACCTTGCATCTGCCAGTGAAGTCGGCAGCTGCATCTCCAGACACAAAGGTTGAGTAAAAGTGACATTTCGAAGGAGTAATTTTTCTGTCTCTATCTGCACTTAAGGAGAGAAAAAGACCTTTTACAAAGGAAAGATCTAAAACTCAGCAGTTGCATCACAACAGACAGGATGCCTGGAGGAGTCACTTAATTCATTTGGCAAGAGCGTTTTGATTTACAGATCTACACAGTTTACCCTTGTGAACTTGGCATTTGTGTCAGATTGGAAGCTCAGGTTGGATTTTCAAGTGGGATTTTTGTTTGTTTGTTTTAAATGCAAACTTCACTATGGCACTAGTGGCAGCTGACAGGCTGGGATCTGACAGCAAAGGATGGACAACTGCATTTGGGTCCATGTAGAGCGGTTCCAATTAAATTAAGAAGCAGATCAACATGTTAGGTGTGGTGCCCATCCCTTGCTCCAAGCTTCTTCTACCTGAGGAATTCGGCAGCACAGCAACTAAGGCAGGGGTAAGGGTAGGGGTCGGTGTGTGTGTCCATGCAGGGGAGGGGGCTTGTGGGCTTGGTGGAGAGGGAAAACAGATTCCTCTGTGAGATGTTTAACACTGCAGTCTGCCCATGAATAGGCCACTGACATTTGCCATCCTTACTTTTACATGTTGGCATAGGGTCACCTATGCTCCACGTCCCATTGGCTTGGCACTTGATGACCCGCTGGCCCGTGTAGTAGTACCCAGGGTCACAGATCAGCATGAGCTGGGCGTCGTACTGGTACTGGGTCTCGTAGGTCAGCCTCCATCGGCCATGGTCCACCATGATGCTGTTGATATCGGGGCAGGTGACGGCTGGACAGCCACCACAACAGTGGGGGAGCAAGCGGGGGGAAGCAGAAACACGGGAATTAATTAATGATTTCGCTTTGGGGCTCCTTCTGCCTTAGGGCTTGTAACAGGGTGTGCCGGTCCTTTAAGGAAGGCTTTCCTGTTTCTGTTTACAGCCCAGAACCAGGAAACTCTGGGAGACATAGTTTCTAGGTTTGATGGGAGTTGGTGGCTTGGCAGCAATGGATGCTGGGAAGGGGAGAGAGGATGCCTGCTAAGAGAGAGGTCAGGGGAAAGGAAGCTCTTTCAAGTCTCGGTCTCCCTCTCCCAGCATGCATTGCTGCCAAGCCTACAACTCCCAGGCATTATTCCTCTCAGAAGTGCCTTCTTCTGGGCTGAAACTGGACAGAGACTGTGCTGGGCCTGTAGCCTCCCTTAAAGGGCCACCACACCCTCTTATTACAGGGCTTCTTCTGACCTTTGCCTGAATATCTGATTTTAACCTCTGAACAGAGCTAATTACAAAACAGCTGGTGATAACCTGTGAAACACAGTGGGGTAGTGTTAGGGCTTTGCCACTCAGGGGCTGTCCAGAAGTTACATAAGGCATTAGGGGCGGGTCCTTAATTTTTCTTGTTTGTTTTGGTATTACAGAGTGTTACAAGGGGGCGGGTGGGTCTTGAAAAATCACCCCCCAAAATGTGCTGCGGAATTCACGAACAGCCCCTAGAGGGCGACATTGTAGCTCTCGCTCACATACACGTTCCGTCCAGCAGAGGGGGCCGTGCTGCACATTTTAGAAGACCAGAAACAAAGCCATAAATGTAACGTTCCCTTGGCTGGAGAGCCTTTCTAAATCACCTCGCGAATAAGCCCAGCTGGGGGCTACTCACCCACGCACTGTGGAGGGATGTTGCTGTTACTCCACTGCCCTGTCTGCAGACACTCTGTGGTGGACTCCTCTGCGGCCTGCAGGTGGAATCCCTGGTTGCAATGATAGACAGCTTTGGTACCCACTGTGTACTCCTTGCCGAAGACGATTCCGTTCTTTGGGGCTCTGGGCACTCCACAGGAGATAGCTGGGGAAGGGGGAAAAATACTGCCCTCTGAGCTGAAATGTTGATAGATGGTTAATTAATAGAACTGGGCCCACTCCAGGTGCCCCCACCGGTGGATATTCCAAGCCAGATCAAGGTTTCATAGCTCAGCAGTGATAGACTGAGTTAACTTCCCAGATCCAAGCCACTCCTCATTTTGAGATTTCTGAATCCAGATTCAAACCCAGAGCTGTGGCCCATCTCTAATAAACACAAAGGGCCAGATCCTCAGCTGGTGTAAATGGGGGCAACTCCATTTTTTAAAGTCAATGGCATTATGCCCCAACCTACGTTTTATATAGTGCCTATAAATACTAAATATATCACAAAGTGCTCCACAGTTTTAACAACAGAATTGCAAGACTAAATAAAAAAACGACCTTTGTATTTAGATCCTATAGCACCCCGGACCTCAAAATGTATTCCTAGCATTAATTAATTAAGCTGTCCGACACCCTGGGAGTACAGCTCAGGAGAATACAGAGAATTGTATGGTTTAGTTGTGGCAGAGGCAGGACTAAATTTAGAGTTACAGGCAAGAGGGAAAAAATGGTTGTCAGATGACAGGTGAAATTAGATGGAGCCAACAAAGGGGAGTGAGGCAGGGGGGCTGTTCCAGGTGACTGGAGCTGCAGAGGAGAAGGCTCTTGCACTGTTAGTGCTAAGACACTCGCTGTAGTAGCCAGAGGGAATGGTTTGGTGGTCAGCTCGGTGTCCAATAAACAGAGGTGCCAGAGAGTCTATTAACCCTTTCCATTCAAGGACTTGTGGGGCAGGATTCCACACCCTGAGTTAAGACAAGATACCTATCTTGAAGGGGGCACACCGATTCCTCTTGATTTCTCCAGGCAGAAAGGGACACCCATCCAAATTCTTCCCGATGGGGCCCTGCTTCCCTATGGGTCAGGTTCTTGAAGCATCAGGAAGAACAAACCAATCCAATCGTAGCTCCAGAACCTCTCGGCTCCCGGGATGAATAGGTCACCACGGACAAATGCATTCTGACTGGCCTCTGTCCCTACTGCTGTGTTTTGTAAAGGGACCCGCTCAGTGCCACAAAAATAACATTGTACACACACAGGACTGCAGGCTGGGGGACTTGCTGCTCTGTTCAACTGCACCACACCTAATGAGTGTGGGGAAAGCTCTCATTGAAAACCAGGAAGTAGGGATGAGGGGGGGGGGGGACATGGCTCCATCCCCATGTACTCCAGGTAACCCAGTTAACCTCATGATGACCACTTTACTACACTAAGCATAATGGATCGTTAGAGGTGAGGATGCCCTTGACAACTGGGTGCTACAGTGTTGAGAGCCCTTCTTCACCCTGCTAGTCTATCCCAACTGATTTCTGGGCACCCCACTGCCCCCCGTAAAACAGGAGGTCCCTAGCCTCTGTTTGCCAGAAGCTGGGAATGGGCGACAGGGGATGGATCACTTGATGATTCCCTGCTCTGTTCATTCCCTCTGAAGCACCTGGCATTGGCCATTGTTGGAAGACAGGATACTGGGCTAGATGGGCCGTTGGTCTGATCGAGTATGGCCGTTCTCATGCAGTGTGGTGGGTTGGAGTTCAAGGCCCTGAAAATGTCTGGCTTAATGGGGCAGCAGGGACAGAGAGAGCGTGGAGGGTTTGGCAAGGGGGCTGGTCCTAGGGGACAGAGAGGAGTGGACGCAGAAGCCTGTCACCGAAGCACAAGGCGGATTGCAATGCTTGTGTCAGCGCTCTGGGTTTTGTACAACATGCTGCATATCATGCTGACCTCTTCCCCTGCCCACAGAGCTGGAAAATTGGGCAAGCAGAATCTATCTTTCAATCCCCTTTTCTTCATCAGCATTCACAATGGCTGGAAAAGTGGCCCGGGGCTAGCCTCCAAAAATAACAAGTGGGTTCCCACCCCTTTCTTCTCTAGTCCGGGCTAAGACAGCAGCCGGTCCATTTGGACTGGTGAGTCACGGGCCCCGACTCAGAGCCCACCCGTCTGGACTGGCGTAGGATGGCAAACGGGAACGGAGAGCTTGTGTAATGTTACGCTGCCATTAGAAAGCAGCCAACGGAACCTCGCCGCAAAATGCCACCACAGGCTAGGGAGGTGGAAGAAGATAACAGGACATTTAGGAACGGCCGCTTTGGGGTGGACCCCTGCACCAAACAACGGCACACGTGGGTGTCTCTTTTTAAAAGGGTCTAAAGTGAATTTATTACTGGAGTGAACATCCCTAGAGAAAAAGCTTCCTCTGCTCAGCCACTGCGTGGGCACACTCAACGCACCGTACAAAGGAGGGCTTGTAAAATGGGGAAACTGAGGCACAAAGGGGCACCGTGACTTCCCCAAGGTCAACCAGTGGCAGAGCCATGACTAGAATCCCAATTTCCTGAATGCCACATCGGTGCTCTAGCCACTAGGTCACAGCGGCTGCATTCAAACTTCACCAGGATGGGACCCCTCTAGTGGTGAGAGGAGCATCCAGTCCTCCTCCTTCCTCCTCAACTGAGATGAAGGTCCTGGTGTGCTAGGTGCTGTACAAACACGCAGCGAGAGACAGCCTTAAAGGGGTTAAAAGCCACACAGACAAGGCATGCAATGGGAGAGTATTGATCACCCCTACAGGTGGGGAACGAAAACACAGAGAGGTGACGTGGCTTGTGCAAGGTCCTACCCAAGGGAGTCTGGCAGAGCAAGTCACAGTCCAACACTTCAGCCTTCCTCTTATTCACCTTACAGGCCATGAAAGGTTGCGAAACTCAGAGCCAGTCAGGAGAGTGGACAGACCCATCTCATTTCATTCTGCACAGACAATTGGTAGCATGGCTTTCCACCCTTAGAGGTGCCAAGCGCTTTCCTCTCATTACCAGCGCTGGAGCCACTCAATGCTCCAGTCTGGAAAGCAATTAAGCAGCACCTAACGTAAGCTGGTCTTGCTCATACACGTGGGTAATCCAGCAACCTGGTATTAGCGGGATCAGGCATATCCCCGGTTGAAATGATAATCACACGTATGTCACTTCAGCGAGCTAAGGAGCTTGATGAATCTGGCTAGGAGACGGGGTGTCTAGACAACTTGCCCTGCTGAATACCAATTTCATTCAGAGGTGAAAGAAGATGGGGCTGGAAATTCGTATCATTGTTAGCTGTCAGTTTGTAATCACTTTTTGTCACCCATTATATCTGATCAAAGCAATTGAAGGGGTAACCACCAAGCCAATAGTTTTTCCTCTGGTGTCTACCACACCCTGTCTGCCTCTCGGAGTCAAAGAGAAAGAGGAGAGACAAGGAGACGGTGGTGTTTACGGACTTCGCCAAAAAGAAAACTCTCAGAAGTGAAAACACTAATGGACTGATCCAAAGCCCATTAAAGTCAGTGCAGGTACGTCTACACAGTAAAAAAAAAACAACCACCACCCACGGTGGCGAGTTTCAGAGCCTGGGTCAGCTGACTCGGGTTCGCACTTCAGGACGACAAACAGCAGTGTAGACATTCCCACTTGGGCTGAGCCCGGGCTCCAAGACCCAATCCCCTGGCTGGGTTTCAGGGCCCAGGCTCGTGCCCGAGCCCCAATACCTGCACTGCTATTTTTAGCTGCTGCGGGGTTTTGTTTCTTTGCGATGCAGACCTACCTTAAAAGTCTTTCTGTTGACTTCACTGGGCTTTGGAGATGAGCTTTTGTGTGCCTGGAACCAGAGAGCGGAGACTGCTCCGTGCTTTATGCTGGTGCAGGGATCCTTTAGCACCAATGCCTTTTGCAAACCAGAGGACCTAGTGGCTGAGGCAAGGTACTGGACCTGAGCAGAACCAACTTCTGCCACAAGCCCCCAGCATGACACAAGGATTATCATCCCCATTTGGGGAAACCGAGGCACGGAGCGCTTAAGGCTGGGCTTTTCAAAGGGGCTGACGAGAACTGGGTGCCCAATTTCCATTGAAACTCCATGAGATTTGGACACACAATTCCCTAAATTTCCTTTGAAAACCCTCAACCTTAAGCTGGGTATCCCAGTTCCCCCATCTGTAAAATGGGGACTCCCACCCTTACTTGTCTATTTATGTTGTAAACTCTTGGGGGGTGAGCACTGTCTCCTGCTGTGTGTGCGCACAACGCCCGGCACAATGGGGCTCTAGGAGCTACAATACACACAATAAATACTATTGGAGAAGCGACACCAAAGCAACTAGCAACACAGACGTAATACTGGGGATGGGGTAATGACAAGAGAAGAAGCACTAGAACGAAAGGGCCGGACTTGCCTCTCTGTTGTGCTAATTTTAACCCCACTGCAGTGACACCATGGGACCCAGAGGAGAATTAGCCCCATGCTATTTATGGGTTTCTAGCACTATAACCAGTTATTTCTTCTTGTTATGCTGGTTTCCTTGTGTCTCTGTAGCTGCCTGTTTGACTTTATTTGGACACCTGCCATTGCATAAACCCAGTGTGGACACAGAGGGTAGTCAGCAATAATCGGGGCCATTCCGACCAGATGTAGTTAAATAAAAAGTTAATTACGCTACTAAGCCCCTCCCTTCCGCACAAAACCCTCTGCACCTGCAGCTGGCCAGGCTGAAATATGAACAGTCCATCATAGATGGCTGGTTGGGCCTTCGGACATTCTGCTTGCTGCATGACATGGGCTCCGGTGCCTTGCGCTTTGCAGTGGAAGGATGTTCCTACTTGCAAATTTGGTATCCTTGAACAGAATGTGGGCTTATTTAGTCTTTATTTACAGGGCCCGGCATGGAGCAGAGAGGCTTGGTTTTCGGGATTGCAATAAACTTGCCATCTGCTCCAGCAGTGCATTACCCAGGTTGAAATGCAAGCGGCGCAATCCAGGGGAGGCAGAGAAGAGGATGAAATATTGGAACGCTTCCCAGGGAAAGCAAAGTCAACAAATATCTTTGAGGGACCCATTCGGAGCCTAGCTCTCAGGATGGGGGAGGGGGGAGCTGCTGGGGAGGGAGGGGGAAGGTATGAGAGCAGTGTTTGCAGGAAGAATGTGTGCTAGGGAAGAGGACA